CCAAATTGGATAACATCAAAGAAAATGGATAAACTCCTAGAAACATACAACCTACCAAAACTGAATCATGAAGAAACTGAAAATCTGAATAGATCAATTACTAGTAGGTAGATTGAATTAGTAATCAAAAATCTCCCAGCAAAGAAAAGTTCAGGACCAGATGGCTTCACAAGTGATTTCTACCAAACTTTTACAGAAGAACTGATGACAATCCTCAAACTCTTCCAAAAAATTGAAGAGACAGAAACACTTCCAAATTCCTTTTATGAGGGCAGCACTACCCTCAAACTAAAGCTATATAAGCACACAAGAAGAAAGAAAATTACAAGCCAACACCCCTGATGAACATACAGTCATGCATTGCTTAATGACAGGGATATGTTCTGAGAAATGCATCGTTAGGCAATTTTGTTGTTGTGTAAACATCAGAGAGTGTACTTACACTAACCTAGATGGTACAGCCTACTACACACCTAGGCTATATCGTACTAACCTTATGGGACTGCCATTGTATATATGGTCCATCATTGACCAAAATGTCATCATGCAGTGCATGACTATAGATGCAAAAGTCCTCAACAAAATACTAGCAAACCAAATTCAACAGCACGTTAAAAAGATCATACACCATGATCAAGTGGGATTTACCCCTGGGATCCAGATGGTTCAACATATGCAAATCAAAAAAACATGATATGCCACATCAACAGAATGAAGGGTAAAAATAATATGATCATTTCAACAGATGCAGAAATGGTGTTTGACAAAATTCACTATCCTTTCATAACACAAACTCTCAATAAATTAGGCATAGATGGGTTGTACCTTGACATAATAAAGGCCATATATGGCAAGCCCACAGCTAACATTATACTCAGTGGTGAAAAGCCAAACACTTTCCTCTAAGATCAGGAACAAGACAAAGGTGCCCACTCTTACCTCTTCTATTCAACATAGTTTTGGAAGTCTTAGTCAGAGTAATTAGGCAAGAAAAAGAAATAAACAGCACCCAAATTAGAAAGGAAGGAGTAAAATTGTCTCCATTTGCAGATGACATGATCTAATATATAGGAAACCCTAAAGATACCACCAAAAAACTATTAGAACTAATAGATGAATTCAGTAAAGTTGCAGGACACAAAACCAACATGCAAAACTTAGTTGGGTTTCTATATGCTATTAAAGAACTGTTTGAAAAAGAAATGAAGAAAACAATCCCATACACAAAAAAAAATCAAAAAGAATAAAATACTTAGGATAAATTTAACTAAGGAGTGAAAGATCTCTACAGTGAAAACTATAAGACATTGATAAAAGAAACTGAAGAAGATATAAATAAATGGAAAGATATCCCATGTTCATGGACTGGAAAAATTAATATTATTAAAATATCCTTACTACCCAAAGTGACCTACAGATACAATGCGATCCCTATCAAAATTCCAATGGCATTTTTCACAGAAATAGAAAAAACAATCCTACATTAATATGGAACCACAAAGACCCCAAATAATCAAAGCAATCTTGAGGAAGAACAAAACTGGAGGCATCACACTTCCTGATTTCAAACTAAATTACAAAGCTATAGTAATAAAAACAGTATGGCATTGGCATAAAAACAGATATTGGCATAAAAACAGACACATAGGCTAATGGAAAAGAATAGAGAAACTAGAAACAAACTCAGGAATAAAGGGTAAATATGAACAATCTATGACAAGGGCACCAAGAATACACAATGGGAATAGGATAACTTCTTCAATAAATGGTGCTGGGAAAACTGGATATCTACATGCAAAAGATGAAATTGGACCCTTATCTTACAATAAACAAAAATTAACTTGAAAATTAATTAAAGACTTCAACATAAGACCTGAGACCATAAAACTCCTGGCAGAAAACCTAGGGTAAAATCTCCTTGACATTGGTCTTGGTGGTGATTTTTTGTACATGATACCAAAAGCACAGGGAATAAAAGAAAAAGGAAAAAAAAAAGAAACAAGTGGGACTGCATCAAATTAAAAAGCTTCTGCACAGCAAAGGAAACAATCAACCAAATGAAAAGGCAACCTACAGAATGGAATAAAATATTTGCATACTATATATTGGATAAGAAGTTAATATCTAAAATGTATAAGGAACTCACATAACTCAATAGCAAAAAATCAAATATCCAATTAAAATGAGTAAAGGACCTGAATAAACATTTTTCCAAAGAAGACATCCAAACAGTCAACAGGTATATGAAAAGATGCTCAACATCACCAATCATTAGGGAAATGCAAATCAAAACCACAGTGAATTATCCCTCACATCTGTTAGGATGACTAGTACCAAAAAGGCAAAAAATAACAAGTGTTGTCAAGGATGTGGAGAAAAGGGAACCCTGCACACTGTTGGTAGGAACGTAAATTGGTGCAGCCACTATGGAAAACAGTATAGAGGTTCCTCAAAACATTAAAAATAGAACTACCGTATGATCCAGAAATCCCATTTCTGGGTATATATCTGAAGTAAACAAAATCTATGTCTCAAAGAGATATCTGCACTCCCATGTTTACTGCAGCTTTATTCACGACAGCCAAGATATGGAAAAAACCTTAGTGTCCATCAACAGATGAGCAGATAAAGAAAACATGAGATATCTCTATCTATACTCACACCCATACCTGTACCTATACCTATGCCTTTACCGATACCAGCATCTATCTATATCTATATAAAATCGCCTTTGGAAGCCCTGGCATTATCATTGAGAGAGACCACAGGGAATTACCATAGTAAGATGGCTTTCATCTCTTTTGTTATTCAGAAGGCTGATCTTGTTCATACCTGGGGGGAAGGAGAAAGTATGAATGGTGAGGTATGTGGCAGTGGGAGTAAGTTCTTTATCTTCTAGGACAATACAAAGTTTCACGTCAACTTGAAGGATGGCACAAATTGCAAAGCCAGGGCCTTTCAGAGGTTGAGAAAGGCCCTGGCCATGTCCATTTAAGTTCTTATTGCATATTTTTAAGAAGAAAAAAATACCAATGTGCCGTTTGAAAACAATATTTAGTCCTTTCCAGTGTTATCTTTAAGACTATATAAAACCTCTTACTTTAAGATAACATTGAAAGTATAAATTTAAATATTTCATAATAATTAAATTTTTAAAAGCTTTTATAAAACATCTGCTAAGAAGGTTTCCATGGTCAAAAAAGTTTGTGAAACACTGCATTTTGCTCTTGTCTTCTTGAATATTGATCATGTACACTGGCATATTCAAGGCGCCCAGAAGTCCCGCAGGATAAAAGTGAGTTTAACTTTATCTCATTGTTTCTCAAACCTAAGGGGTCATGACAAAGTGAATCAAAACACACTTTGGGAAATATTACTATAGGCAGGTCAGTATCCAATCTCTTTTTCTTTCTCAGTCTCTTCTCCCATGTGAGACAACTTCAGACTTCAAGCTACACCTCCCCAACCTCTTTCCCAAGCTCCCCAGACATTAACACTAAAATATGACCCAGAACCTGGCAATAACTAGATCAGTTCCTGGGAGACTGCCAGTGGGCGTTGTACATCAACTCTGATCTGAGGAGAATCCACGTACAGCTAACAGAACAAACAGCTCAGTTCCCATTCCAGTTGGTCCTTAGTCTCCCCGCTACACTAGCCAAAGTTTTTGTCAACTAAGGAGGTCTCTTTTTTTTTTTGAAGTGGACAGCTTTCTCTTAGAAACTCGGCACTTGCTGAGGCACCAATTAATTTTGCATAAGCTGCCACGGCACCATTAGATGCTAATCCGTTCATTCATAACCACAAGGTATTGTGCTAGGGTCATGTACATGACTTGTGCCTCCAGCCCTGTGGATTTATTTAGTGCTTAGCCCCTCGTTCCTGCAGCTGTGTCCTTTCAATGACTGCTTTATGGTGGCCAAGAGAGTTGAGGTTGGCTGCCAGGACTCTGAGATCTGGAGGAACACATGGACACATTATTCTTCTACTCTGAAGCTATCCAATTCCTGTTCCGGTCAGAAGGGGAGATAGTGGGAGGATATCTCTGAAGCAGCCCAGCACTTACCACTGATAATATTACTCATACCTGACATTATTGCAAAAGGGCAGGCTTAAATTTACCCATGGTGTGTTCTTCAGTGGAAGGTTAATTACCAATGAAAGTGCAATAATACAGCACATAATTCGGAATGTAGGTCCTGGCTTTATTTGTAAGAACTACTATGGAGCCATTATTTTCTTTACTCTAAGACTGCACGTTGGTCCAGTCTGCTTCAAACAAGAGGCCAGAAAGAGGGCTTACTATGCTCATTGAATACTAATGAGGCTTTTGCTTAAGTTGTTTTGTGTTACAATTATTTGCAACTATATTTCTTCTTGTGTTTATGTAGAGGGACAAAAATACCTCAAAGGTAGCAAGATTCTGACTTAGCCTGGATATTTGGAAGAAAGGGTCTTGCCACTTTTTCTTTTGTTCTTGTAACATTTGTAAAGGATTTTGTTCAGCACTGAGGAAAAGCAAAATATCATCAGCATTATTGCTGGCCTTTGTCCACAGTGGATTTCATCCAGACTCTAACCAGCGACTCTGTGACTAACGATCTGAGTCACTAAGTTTCATATGTTTATGTATTTCAACACAATTCCCAGGCTGAGAGTTTTTTATTTATTTTCATGTTTCAGGACTCAGAAAAAATTAAATGCCCTTCTGTATTTCGAATCTAGTGTCACTGAGTGACTGGGTCTGAGTAACTCAGTACATAGATTGAATTGCTCCTTTAATAACAGATTAGTATTGGCAAAAGTTAAAGAACTACCAAACTATCAAAAGACTAGTATATACTTTCAGGATGAAAGTCTTTAGCCTCAGGGAGAATTCAGGTGGGTATAAATATTCTTGTTTTCACCAAGGTAGTAAGACAAGATAATTTCAGAATTTAAAATGCAGGAAACCTACAACTAAAAGGGAATAAAGAGAATGACAGAAGACTACAAGTATATTTCTTAGTTATTAACTTTGTAAAGATGTACATCTTTATTCTCACAGTTTCTTCAAAGGAATATCAGAAAATGGACAGTCTGAGCTAAAATATATCTTTTTATGGAAAATTCCATTATTTTAATAATATTCTCATCTTACCGTATCCATTCTCATACCAGTCCCAACTTGTCCCTAGGTTATAACTGTCCCTGATTGGTTGCCCCACACCCATCTTAAAAAGGCAATTACCCTGTCACCTTCACATCAAATGACTTTACAAACATTTGGTCACACATTTTCACAGAATCTCAGATTAATAACACCTTACAGTTTTATAGCATGTTTTAAAGGATTCTTTTGCATGTTATTTCATGTGAATATCATCACACGCAGTAGAGCAGAAATGTATTGCCCTCCTCTTACAGATGAAAAAATTCAGGCGTATTACATTGATGTAATTGGCTTAGCCTCGTTGGCTAAGGTCAAATGGATTGTTACTAGAAAAACTGGAATCCTCGTCCAAAGCTATTCCACTAGACATATAACAGAAATATGAGATTTCAAAAGAATTTTGCCTCTAAGTCCTCATAATGCAAGATTAAGAGTAAAGCCTGGATAGATGAATTGTTATTCTTGGATACTGGTCCTTGAAAATACTATTTGTGATATCAGCTATTATATTGTATTACATTAACGCTGTCCAAAGAGAAATTAGATCACACAAAATGTTATCAAAAAGATCATAAATAAAATGAATCCTGTTTTCATCATTCTGTGGTTTTCATAGGATGACCTATATAGGACATCCTATGAAATAACTTATTTTGAAGTCCCTTGCCCTTAATCTGGCCCCTGCACCCACACCAAGCCTCTTATGGGTGAGTCTGACTTTGCAGCAGTAAGACAGTAAAGTGGGTACCTTAAAGCACGGTTCAGGAACCACCCCCGTCACACTGAACTGAGCGTCTCAGCAATGCAGATTTCTGAGTCCCACCACACAGTATCTCCACTGTAACCTGCTGCATGGGGGGCGCGGGGGAGGGATGAGGGGTGGCCGGCTCCCCAAGAGAGTGTGAACCCTAAAGTGTGCTCATCACCACAGGGATAGCAGTTTTCTGTTCCTGCAAGTTTCAGTGACATTTGTTGTGAACATGCATCCTGGGCGTGGTCTCTGGAAATGTAAACAGAAGATGGTCCTTCACCTTTGGAAAAAGAGGTGAGGCGCAGACTCTAAAAGTGGCCCGCAGTCAAGGACCTTGACAAGTCCTGAGAGAAAACGTTTACCTGTACACCAGGAAACAGTATCACCCCGCTTATGGGAGCCAGTCGGCAAGCTCAGCGATCCACGGAGCCGTCTTCCTTCCCCAGCGCTGGCATTTAGAGAGACTGACAACAAATGGTGCTGAGCGGGGCCACGTCTATCTGAAAGGACTAATACGTTTCCAACCTAGAACGACATTAATTGATTGATAACTACTTTCCTCTCAAACCAGGCAAAATCAGCATTCCTCTCCCTGCCGTGTGCCAGAACTCCAAGATGAACAAAATAGTCCTTTGGAGAGGCCTGAGTCAGAGAACTGGGTTCAGCTCCGGGCTTCAAACCCGAAGCGGGGCTGCAAAGAAAGTGGCGAGACTGCAGACACCAGGGGAATGAATACATATAAAGGAAAAGCAGGGCCCTGGAGGAATTGGACAAAGAACTAGCGGGGGAAGGCAGGGATCAGGGGGTGAATTAACAAAAGATTCATAAAAGAGGGCTTTCTAATCTGAGGAGAGCAACTGCTTTAAACTGAAACAATTAAAACCTGACCATATGTTCTTACAAAAGTGGTAAAGCAGATAATTTGTAAAAATCCGCCGCCCCTCCCCCCGTCTTTGCCAGAATTTCAGTTAAGAAAAGGTCCTATTTCAAAGTCCAGATCCTGTCACCACGGGCACGGGCCAAGGTAAAAGCAATCGCACGGCTCTTTGAAACTCATGGCTTGGCGGTTCGAGGATTTTAAAAAACACATCCGGGATGGTTGCGTCCACAGCCGGACTTTGAGAACGTTCCATATCGAGGCTCGGTCACGGATTTACTTGGGATCAAGAGCGCATAAGAATTAGCACGAAGGATTGAAGACATTGTCAGCGGGAAAGCCGGGACGACAGACTCAGGGAGGCAGGGCACCGGGGCACACTTTCTCTTCCTGCAAAGATCGAGCCGAGGGCAGCCTGCGGCTCCCGGGGCCCCGCGGGGCGCGGCGCAGGCGGCGGGGCTCCCGGCTCGCAGACGGGCGCGCAGCGGGCGGCGGCCGCCAGGGATGCGCCCGGGTGCCCCGGGCCTGCGCTCCGGTGGGGCGGGCGCCGCCCCGCAGCTGCTCCCCGCGCCGCCAGCCTGCGCTCGGGGCGCGCATCCCCGCATCCCCGCCCGGAGTCCCGACCGGGGGTGGGGCGCCGAGGCCGAGGCGCTGGAGTTGCGCCAGGCCCCGGGTCCGCGCCGCTTCCTAACCCCGGGGCGGGGCGGCCCAGCCCCTCCCAGGTCCTTCCCGCGTCCTGCTTTCCCGCCCGCTTTCCCCGGGAGAAACATGGCCGGGAGCAGTGAGGAGGCGCCAGACTACGGGCGAGGCGTGGTGGTAAATGCTAACTCCTGATTTCGGGCCCGAGTCGTGCGCTCCCGGCTCTCGCCTCCCCTCCCTTCTTGGCACGCTCCTTCTAGATTAAATGCCTGAAATGTATTCGGGTGAGAGAGCGGGCCTCTGCTTTGTTCCTCCCTCGCGGCGGGGATCGCATCCCTCCTCCCCTCCTGGCTCCCGGCTCCCTGCGCCCAATCTGATCCAACACTTAACGTCGCTTCGCCCGGTTTCCCCCCTCCGCATCCCCAGCCCCCGCCCCCTCGCCCGCGGCCAAGAATCTGCTCCTCCAGCCTTAAGCTGGTGTAATGCTGGGTCCCCACTCCTGCTAGACACCAGGAGCCACCTCTGGGAGCCGGGGTAGGTCTGAGAAGACCCCCGCGTGCTACTCTTGTGGGGCTCCTTCCTTCTGTGCTTCCTCCTGACTCCTCCAGCGCGGGCTTCAAGTTTTGTTTTCCAGAAGGATACTGAGGATTCTCCGGGGCAGCTAGGAAATAAAGTAGCTCCAGTGGACGGAGTTTGAGCTTTGAAACCTGCCCTGGGACCCTGTCTGTGAGACCTTTCCTAGTGCCTCTGAGTGTCAGTTTCCTTTTCAGCAAAAGGAAACACAGCCTGCTGGGCCTGTTGGGCGAATTGGAGAGGATGTATGTAAAATATCTAGTACTGTGTCCAGATGGGAGGATATGGGATGATGGGTTCCCAGAACGGAGCCTCTTTATTCCCGGGATTCCCTCGAGGAGTCAACCAGAGGATAGCCATCTCTCAGTGTTCTGGAATCAAATCCAGTCTTGCCCTGTGGCCACCAGCTTCCACTCCCGGCTCCCTTCAGGAATGGTTTCTACGGAAGGTGGTCGTTATTACAGTGTCAGGTTTAGTGGAAACTGGTGGGTGGGTCAACTTGCTACACTTTCAGCCTGTAATTCATAGATGATCTGTCAGAGATTATGAATGGACTGCTGGAGTAAGAGATTTGAGAAGGAAACACCTCACACGGAAACAGAACTGTTCAGGTCGAAATGTGCTGCCCAGTCCTTAATTTCACAGCGGGCCCTTTCCCTCTTAAAGGATGAGGAGTACGTTTAGTTATTTGTTCCACACACGTTGACTGACCTGCTGGATTCCAGGCATTGTCCTAGGCTCTGGGACACAGCAGAGAACAAGACACAGCCTTGTCTTCATGGAGCTTCCATTCTAGAGAAGGGACGTAGGCAGTGTAACAGCAAATAAACAAAGATAATTTCAGAGAGTGACACGTGCAATGATAAGAGGGCCACGAGACAGACACTGATTGGAGGAGGGCTGGGGAGCACTTTTGCTCAAGTGGTCAGGATGGCCTCTTTGTCATGACGCTGAAGCCACAATCTGAAGAGGAAGCAAGAGGTGGCCATGGGATGACTGGGAAGAGAACTCTGAGATAGTGCATACCAAGTGCGAAGAAATCATTATGTCCCGAGACGAGGTCATTACACACAACTTATGCTTTGAAAAACATCACTCCAGTTGCCATGGAAAGGATGGTCAGGCCCAGGGATGGAGTGAGTGGCAGGAGGATGAAAATGTAGAAAGGGAAATAAGTGCAATTCTGGACAAATTGAGTCAGTAGTACCTGCAGGGCCTGGCGGTCAGGATACACTGAAGGCAACTTGAAATTCATACTGGAACTCAGGGGAGTGATTGGATAGACTTAGAAATCATCAGCAAGTAGAAAAGTATCTGATGCTTGGGAGTGGATAGGGATGCCCCGTGAAAACGGAAAGAAAATTCAAAACCACTGTGAAGGGTAGAAACCTGGAATGCCTCAAATGTGAGAGGCAGGGCGTCTAGGAGAAGCCTGATAAAGAAACCAAGAATGAGTAGCCGAGCAGGATAGAGCAGGCAGGGTGGTAGATGCCTAGGGAACAGAGCTTTGTGGAGGGGGGTGAGGGGGCTAAGAGGTCATCAAGAGTGTCAGATGCTGCAGAAAGAGCAAAAAGTAGGATACAGATGGAAAAGAGGCCATTGTCTTCAACAGTTACAAAGCCACTTGTAGTGAGAATCTTTTAAACAACCATCCCATCAGGAGAATGGTTAAAATATGGTGCTACTACTTAATAGTGGATACTCTGAAAAAGGAATAAGTTAAATCTATATGACTAATAGGGTAGGTAGGTTCTTATAATCTAAAAAGCAAATGATGGAACATTGTAAATAGCCCAATCTATTAGTGTCAAAAGAAGCCCTCTCAAAAGCAAGGTAATTTTGTGACAGACGGAGTGAGGTAGTGAAAGGGGCCACTGAGGTGGGAAATAATCAATGTATAATGGAGATATGTCATTTTCTCTAGTAGAACTTGGGGTAATTAGATTAACCTCAGGTTGGATATAGGCAGGCAAGGCAAATTCAGAGTGAATTCAAGGTCTGGTGGAAGCCTGCTGCATCTAGGGTAGAGAAGAAAAGGAAAGCTCAGAGAGTAGGTACACTGGGGAAATAGAGAGCCCCCAAGGATGGGTTGCAAAAAATCAAAGGGAAATTTTAGTACCAGTAAAAAAGGGGGGCAGATAACAATAACAAGCATTTATTGAGCATTTATGTGGTTTTCCTGTATTATTCATTTAATCCTCACAAATCTTTGAGGTAGGTGTATTATACTTCCTATTTACAAAGGGAGAAACAGGCACCGAGAGATTAAGTAAATCACCAAGGTCTCACAACCAGCAAATGGCCGAAGCAGGATTTGCAGCCCACTTTCAGTCACTATGCTACATAGGAAGCTGCGATTGCACAGAAGGATTTCAGAGGTGGGGCCGCTCCGGAGGGTTGGACGTGGATAATATAGAATAAAGATGAAGTGGTTTGGTTTGAGGGGCCAGCCTGGTGGTGTAGTGGTTAAGTTTCCATGCTCTCCTTCAGAGGTCTGAGGTTCACAGGTTCAGATCCCGGGCACGATCCTACCACCGCTCATCAAGCCACGCTGTGATGGCACCCCACATAAAATAGAGGAAGATTGGCGCAGATGTTAGCTCAGGGCCAATGTTCCTCGCACACACAAAAAAAGATGAAGTGGTTTGGATTAAGGCAGGTGAAGGAACTACAAGATGGAGTAGCTAGTAGGATCATCCAGGCAGGCATTGGAGTTGTCCAGAATGAGGTGGAGAAGAAAATTCTGAGTTGGTAGAAACTTGGTGATGAAGATGGCAAGGGGCATAGAGCTGGTGACTTAAGCATGAACGAGAAGTATAGTTTGTGCAAGAGAAGGGAATGTTAAGAGATTTAAGATGGCTCTTGTCTACAAATGGCTTTCAGCTGAACTGAGGAAGTAGGACATTAGTAGATTATTGGCAATAAATTGTAGAAAGTGCTAATTGCCAAATAAGAGATGTAGACCCCACGTTCAGAAGCTTTGCTCAGGGTGGACTGGTCACTTGATGTGAAGCTGGTGAGGTCACCAGCCCCTGGTTGGTGCATCTTTGTTACTCTCAGGGAGAAATAAAGATCTTCTCTACCCATCTGGCCTTTTGGGATCACATTCTTAGGTATGTTTTGTTTTTACCAAACCGTTATTGAAAGAACCGTAGTTAGTACCTACACAGTGAGTTTGGTGGGGCTAAGGAGAAGAGACAAATTTAAAATGATGGATGTGTTGCTGTTGTGGGTGGCTCTCCCTTTGCGCCTCAAAGAAATGTAGCAGTATTGGAGATAAGTGATCAGATAATCCATCTAACGCACAATTTTACTAGGCTGTAATGAGTTTCACTTTCTGGGTACCAAGCCCCCCATAAAGAGGAAGGTATGTGTGATACAAAGCGTTATTTGGTGTCGAGTCCCCCTTCATTCCTCGGGTAGCAGAACCTGGGGCCCTTCTTTTAGGGAACCACTTCTACCCATTTTCTCAACCCCCATCACGGTGCGCCTCCTTCCCTGGGCCAGTGTTCGTGTGTGGGATTCCTGGAAGCAGAGCTGACGGATGAGGGGTAGACGTGAGCCTGAGCATTGGTTGCAGCCATGGTCACTGCCTGAAGGAGAGAGTGGGGCCCAGAGTGGGGGTCAGTGGCAGAGAGGAGCAGAGATCCACTTTTTATAAGTGTTTCCAAATTATTTTTCTCCCTGGGGGAAAAACCCTGAAAAATGATACAAGAAATATTCTCAGCAAAAAATTATTTTTAATGACTTAGAAAGAAGGTTTTCAATACATCTTCAGATGAGAAAAAGGAGAAGCCGAATGAGAGCTGGGATTTGGATGTTGTATAAAATGGCTCGGTTAATGTGTTTGTCACTTCCTCAGCTTGGCCATGTTTTGAGTCTTTGAACAGAGAAAGCATTGTTCTGAATAAACTTAGAGCATATTATCTGTGATACTGAAACTATTTAAAGACTTCTTGTTTGGATTTTTCAAAAGCAGATGAATAACGTAATTATCTACAGTTTGTAACAGCCTCCATTCCTTCAGGGTTAGGCCTTACCGACAGCGCAATCTGCATGCGCCCTTGAGGATTACAAAGGGCAAACCAGTGGTTCCTTTCACTCTAATTGTCGTTTATCTCAACAAGGAAAACTCACTGTTTCAGACTCATTGGAAATAAGGCCAGTTTGGATTATAGAAGAGTTTTAAAGAAATACGTTTCTCCTACTTTAAAGTTTGTCGCTTTAACTAGGGTGATAAGACTTTAGCAAATAGGTTTGAGGCACTTCTTTAAATTAATTAAAACATACAATTTGTGAGTAAACTATTGATGTTTCAGTCCATCTAAATGCTTCACATTTATTGTGTAAGTACTATAGACCAGATCCTGATATAAGAGTTTTATATCCGTTATCTATCTTATCTTATCTCTTTTTTTGTTGTTGGGTATTTTGGTGAGGAAGATTGGCCCTGAGCTAAAATCTGTTGCTGATCTTCCTCTTTTTGCTTGGAAGATTGTCACTGAGCTAACTTCCATGCCAATCTTCCTCTATTTTGTATGTGGATGCCACTGCAGTGGGGCTTGATGAGTGGTGTGTAGGTCTGTGCCTGGGATCCAAACCTGCAAACTCTGGGCCGCTGAAGCAGAGCACACAAACTTAACCGCTATACCACTGGGCTGGCCCCACTAAGTCCATATTTTTAACCATGACTCCATGCTGCCTGTGCACTACCGATTTGTGTAACAGTTTTTATCAATAGGTTTGTTTTATTTGTCACTTTCCTATCATCCTTTTTTTGGCATCACTTATTAGGCACTTATTATACATCAGGAACTCTGAGTACATTATCTATTCTGTCTCTTCCTCCTCACAGCAACTCTGTCCATAGGTTTTATTGTGTCTTATTTAAAGGAGAGGGATTCTTAGTCTCAGAAAGGATAAGTAATTTCCCTGATGTCACAGTTAGTAAGTGTCAGAGCTAAGCTTGAGAACATGGAGTGGGAAGTAGTCTCTGAGATTTGGCCAGAGCAGGGGACAGTAAAAGGATTTGCACGGTGGGAGAAAAAGGCTCAGAAGACCTCCAGTTATTGATGCCACCACCTGGAAGGACTCCAGGAAGTGGCGTGGGTAGTGTGTGTGGTCTGGAAGGGGAGCCGGAAAGTGCTGTGCCCTTGGGTGATCTCCCAGGGCCTGGTGCTGGTCAGGGTTCTTGTCTGGGCTTCACGTGCCCTGCCAGAGGATCTTCATGTACAGCTGGTGGCTCAGGCTCTGACCAGCCACTGTGGGGTTGCTGGTTACAGCAGGCCCAAGGAGTTTTCATGGGTGGGAGCCAGAGCTGCTCTCTGGAAATTCAACAGTTATGCCCAGCCAGTTTGCCGGTAGAGGCCAAGCCAATGAGATACTCTCCAAATATACAGATGACATGCACCATGTGGTTGTCAGTCTGTCCATGGTGGATATGCATTTCCAGAGCCTTGAACACTGGTGCTCTTTATCACAAGGAGACAAACCGAGAGGTGAGGCTGGAGTTCAGATAGTATCGGGTAGTTCGTAGATGGAGACCGTGTCATTCATTCATGCATTTAACATTTTTGAGCACATACCATATTCTAGGTCAGTGTTCTGAGCACTGGGGTTTCAATGGTGAATAAGACAAAGTCTTTGCCAGAAGGAGCTAACATTCTAGTGGGCGGAGACAAGACAAAGCACACACGCAGACATACATATGTCACATTCAGTGGGAATAATGCTATGGAGGAAAGTAAAGCTAGGTAAGAGGGATGCAGAGATGAGAGGGAAGAAAGGGGGTGCTATTTTATATAGATGGTCAGGGAAGGCCTCTTCGTGGAGGTGACATTTGAATGGAGACTTGAAGAAAGTGAAGCGTAAGCCGTGTGGATATCTGAGGGAAGAGGATTGAAGGCAAAAGAAATAGGTTCAAAGCTCTTGAGGCAGGAGCGTGCTTGGCACGTTCAAGGATCAACAAGGAGAACGGTGACTGAAGCAAAGTGAAGGAGTAAGAGGGTGCCTGGGATGAGTCTGAGAGGTAGACCCTCTGGGCCATGTTGAGAGGACTCTGGATTGTCCTCAGAGTGAAATGGGAAGCCCTTGAAAAAACATGAGCAGAAGACTTCCCAGATATGATGTGCATTTTTAAAGGAGCACTCCAGCTGCCATGTGGGGGGCAGAGGCCAAGGTGGAAGCAGGGAGGTGAGTATGGCAGCTATGGCATGGTCCCAGGAGAAACAATGGTGGCATGGACCGGGAGGAATCAGTGCAGATGCTGAGAGGTGGTCCTGGTTAAATTCTGAAGAAGTCGATGATAGGATTTGCTAATGGGTTGCAAGAGGGAATGAAAGAAAGGACTCAAAGACAACTCTGAGGTTTTGATCAGAGCAATGGAAAAATGAGCGTCCGTTACTGAGATACGGAAGGGATGCATTTGGGAGACATCCATGAGTTTGGTTGGCTGGCATCCCAGAACCCAGAACTAGCGTGGGAGTGAGTGGGGGCTGGACCATAAGATGCCCTTCTCAAGCCTGAGCAAAAGAGAGTTGGTTTGAGTCCTAGGTGAGGAGGAGAGTGGAAAGCAGGGGCATAGCCCAGCATTAAATGAAGTACAGATGGGTTCTAAAACAACAGACCAAGAGCCAGAGGCTTGAAGGGACAAGAGTCTTCTCAAGGAGCCTGATTGGGAGCCTTTGGGAAGACAGAGAGCTGCAAGGGGCACCAGGAGTTTGGGTGAGAAGATCAGAGAGCGGGAGCAGTCAGCAAGGCCTCCAGAAAGAAGTGGGGCCTGATCTGAGCTTCTGTGGAGGGAGCTGAGCTTGGGCTACAGAGGGAGGGGGGAAAGAGAGCGAGAGCATGTAGGTGTAAGACAGGCAAATAAACAGAACGCAGAGCTGGGAAGGATCAGGACTTGACTGAGGAGCAATCTGAGGATGGGAAAGGCTGGGGGAGGGAACTGGGCTGGAAAATTAGGAGAGCTCTGCATTATGAAAGGCCTCGAAAGCTCAAGGCTGGGTAGAGGAGTCTGATGGAATTGTGCAGGAGTAATCAAAGCGTGGGGGTGGGGGGGACCTGCGACAGAGCTATGGTATAGCTTGAGCGCGTGACACTTTTGTGTTGCATCCTTTCTTGATCTGAAAGTAAAAGTAACTCGGTCTTCACCTTCATTTTCTCTCCCACCTCTTTACTATTCTAACCATAAAATTTGTGCATCCAGCCTAAGCAAGATATCCACTAACCGAACTGGCCAATTTTCTGGAGCAACAGTTTCCCAATAGGACTGGCTTAAGTTCTCACCATAGTACATCTTTTCGAAGACTTTGCTTTAATGACTAGACCACTCGGAAGTTTGGGTCTACACTAATCCCCAGAGGCATGTACTTTAGTAGGTAACTTTTCCCAGGCAGGTGAGGCACTTACAATGCATAGAAATGTAATAGTATATATAATAATATAATAATGTATTATGATACTGTCTATATTAATACAATCATAAGCATAATGTTACTTATGATAGATTCATGATAATATTCATAGTTTAGGTACAAATTATATATTTACATATATACACTCTCACAAACAATGCTATAAGACATTAAGTTTATATTTTATTGTGTGATGCCAAAAGTTAGGAACTGAATTCTCTGTTCCCTTCAGTACAAGATGTTTTATCAGGTTGTGTGAAACAAATTACATTGTCCCCACTGAGCTTTTCCTAGGTTGACAGAATATAATTTAATGCCATAGTGATTGTCAGACCTATTCTCTATATTCAATATTATTCTTTTTTCAAGTGATACTCTTTTTTTTGGTTTATTTATGTTTTAAAAATAAACTTCCAGTGAAAACTCTTGTAACCAAAATAATTTGATTTACAGATTAAGGACAATTGGCCAGGGTATGACTTGAATTTATTCACATACCCACAGCATTATTATGGAGATTTGGAATATGTCCTCTTACCTCGTGGCATCATTGTGGACAGGTGAGTGTCACTTCCTGTGTCAGTCTTGGGCCTGCGCTGGCTGGCCCTCTCATGTGGGAGTCATACAATACACTTTAGGACGCTATTCCTGTCTCTTTTATGTAGTGGAAGACAGAACTTTTATAGGACAGAGAATTTGGAATAAAATGAGTCTGTGCTTTAACTGAACTTTTTACCTGGACATTTGTTCAGGGAAAATGGGAAGAAGGATATACATATGTGAGGTATTACATTATAATGACAGCCTCAGGATAATAATGTCCTATACAAACTGATGAAAATGGGAGTGGGGAAAGCATTGCTCTTCACCCCATGACCTTTGTCTCAGGTTTTTCCGCAGACTCTTGAGTTAACCAAGGAGAGTTAAGAGGTAACCTTTGCCTTCAGAGGACACACCCCTAAAACCCGGGCTTTACCTGCAACTTGCCTTTATCTCGGATCACGTCATGTATCACAGGTCAGCCAGTCTGTGCACAATTATGTTTTCCAGCCAGTGGAAATGTTTTCGGAATAGGAGTATTTGCAGCTTAAAAATATCCACACAGAACTATTTCTAGAATACTATTTCTAGTTCTTTCTGACCTGTCTACATAGATGTCCTCTGGCTGCTTCCTAGCTGATTGGCTTTCCAAAAGCCAACATTTCTCTCCTGTTCTAAGCCCCTAAGTCACCGCTGTTTGTTCTTGGTTTTTAGAGGGTCTCCTCCAGTTCAGCTCTCGATAAGCAGCAGGGTGTATAGGTCATACCCCTTTAACAAAACTGCCTTAATGTCCAGACTATTACCTTCCTATATACCTCTAATTTCTTATACAAAGGTCAGATACTTAAGCCTTCACATTTATATGGAAAGCAAGCTTCATGGGTTTCACAGTCCACTCCCGGGAATCAGAGATTCTTCAGAGACCCAGAATCAGAGTGGAGGAGGCATTGAAGTGCAGGAGGAAATTGAGACTTTGGGCTCCCCACCCAACCCTTTTCCTTAAACCTTAGACTTCTGCCTCTGTCTTTTTAAATCTGTTATATTCTTCTGAGTTAAAATTTAACTTTATGAAATAGGTCTTCAGCCAAAGGAAAGTTTGAAAAACCCTACATGGTCGCTCTTCCCAGGATATTATCTTTCCATCAATTACTGTCTGTAAGCAAAAGAAAATGTCATTCTTTCACTCCAATTCTAAGATTTTCCATTGGATAAGACTAGCATATTGCACTTTCTCTCAAACTATATTATTAAAATAAGGTCTAGTTTGGGGTTTCTCATGGCCTAACATGGCTTTCCATGGAATACAAATTCTGATCCCCAGAGGGAAAAAGAGGTTCTGTGATCAAATAAACTTGGGAGATTTTGCAACTCCCAAATTGCTAAATCTTCCTGTTGATAAGTCATATTAAAGATATGGAAATTCCCGCAAAAAAAAAAAAAAAAAGGAAAAGAAACCTCGACTTTAACAATTAAACCAACTTTTGTCTTTGTACTCAGTACACCTCTTAATAACTCTCAGAAGATTTTTCCCTTAATGCTAGTTTGGGGATCTCCTGGTTTAAACAAATTCCTGCTTTTCTCACATGAATTTTATGACTTAAATTAATTGCATCCTGATCTAGTACATGATTGAGTCCTGGTAAGGTTACCTGAAGCCAGTTCCCTTTACAGGCGTCTTACCCAGTGAACTTATTAAAATGCATCTTCTTAAGCTTTATGTCCAGAAATTCTGATTCAGTGGTCTACAGTAGGGCCAGGAATGCCCATCCCCACCTTTAAGATGAATTTATTAATGTGTAATTTACATACTACAAAATTCACCCACTGTAGGTAAATCATTCAATGATTTTTAGCCAATATTTATGGTTGGGCAACCATCACCACCATTGTTTTACAATATTTTTGTCATCCCCAAAAATGTGTTTGCTGTCAACCCCTACTTCTACCCCCAGCATCAGGCAATCACTAATCTGATTTCTTTCTTAATAACTTTGTCTTTTCTGAACATTTTATATAAATTAAATCATACAATATTTAATTATTGATTCACCAGCTGCTGGACATTTGGATTTCTAGTTTTCGACTATTACGAATAATGCCTCAATGAACGTTCACCTGTAAGTCTTTGTGTCGACTTATCTTGCTTTCTCTTGGATGGATTCCTTGGAGTGGCATTGAGTTTTATGGCAAGCTTAAGAAATTGCCAGTTATTTTCCAAAATGGCTGTACCATTTTACATTTCCACCAGCAGTGGATCGGAGATCCAGTTTCTCTGCATACTTGCCAACATTTAGTACTGTGTGTCCTTTTGTTGATAGCTATTCCAGTGGATGTATAAAGGTATCTCCTTGTGGTTTTAATTTGCATTTTCTTAATGATTAGTGTACTTGTTAGCTATTCATACATCTTCGGAGAGATGTCTATTTAAGTCTTTCGCCAATTTTTGAGTTGGGTTCTTTGTCTTCTTATTGAATTATAAGAGTTCTTTATATGTTCTGGATGTAAGTCCTTTATTAGATGTATGATTTGCAAATATTTTCCCCCAGTCTGTGGCTTGTCTTTTCATTTTCTTATTATATCTTTTGAGAAGAACATTGGATGACATATTCCATAAACGTCAGTTAGGTCCAGTTGGTCTATGGTATTGTTCACTTCAACAATATCCTTACTAGTTTTCTGCCTGCTGGATCTGTCAATTACTGAGAAGGGTGTTGAAGTCTCCCACTGCAACAGTAAATTCATCTATTTCTCTTTGCAGTTCTATCAGTTTTTTGATACCCTGTTAGGTGCATATACATTAAAGATTGCTATGTCTTTTTGGAGAATTGACCTCTTTATTATTATATAATGCCCCACTTTATTCCTGATAATTTCCTTGCTCTGAAGTCTGCTTTATCTGAAATTAATATGGCTACCCCAGATTTCTTTTGATTAGTGTTCTCATGGTATGTCCTTCTCCATCCCTTTACTTTTAATCTATATGTGTCCTCATATTTAAAGTGCATTCTTGTAGACAACATATGATTAGGTCTTGTTTTTTAATCCACTCTGACCGTCCCTGCCTTTTAATTGGTGTATTTAGACCATTCACATTTAAAGTGACTAGTGATATAGTTGGTTTAATATCTGCCATATTTGTAACTATTTCCTATTCATTGCCCTTGTTCTTTGTTTCTTTTTTTGTCTTCCACTTCGTGAAATGTCTCCCCCCACAATATGCAGCCTCTGATGGTGTGCAGTTTATTTTTCTTGTTTTTATTTTTAAGCTTCACTTATCAGGGTTCAGCCGTCTGTCTGCATAGCTTAGTCTTCATCCTAAGATTGGTTGGAGATTGTACTCAACACCGGGAGCCAGTAAGGCTTCCACTCTCTGCTGATGAATGTGTGTGAGGGGTCTGGCAAACACATTTGACTTTCCAGGCTTCTTCAAATCTTCCTGGGCTTTCTTGCATTTCCTCTGCATGTGCTTACAGGCTCCGTCATCCGGGGATGTGTGGGTGGCTTGAGCCCACACTAGTCTCTGTTGTGCATATGCATAGCTTTTGGTCAACTTGGGATATGTGAAGAGGTTATTGTGTACCTCTCTCCCATGATTCTAACCTCCTGGAACTCCCTATCAAATCCCCAACTAGTATGCCAGTTAGTTGCTCAGACAAGACTGCCACTCCAGGATACTGGAGCCACTAGGCCTCTCTGTTCAGGTGCTACCAAGATGGCCATTTTAGGTGACAATGCTCCCAGTCAAGTGAGCTCCCTCTGGCAGTGCCCCACCGTGGTTGAACTACCTGGTTGAACAACAGGGCTGAAGGGGGGTTAAAGGGGTTGGGAGCATTCCTGGATAAGAATGCCACAGACTTGTACTCTTTCTACCCTGTGTCCAGTGTTTTCATGAATAGATGATTCTCAGTTTGTTGTATGCCTTTGGTTGATTTCCAGACTGCTGAAATGGTTGTTTTTGACAGTGTTGTCCAACTTTGTACTTGCTTTTTGTTGAGAGGATGTGTTAACCTCTTCAATCCCTCAAGCTGGAAACAGATGTTCCTTTTATAGAATATCTGGCATGCTGATGTACATTTTTTGATGATCATATTTTGAAAAACGTTGTCTAAAACCATGGCTGCCATTTTATATGTATATGTCTATATGTGTGTATGCATATATACACACATATAAAAACATATATGAAATATATTATGTAATATATATTACACCTGTAGAACATATATAATGTTATATACATATATATTCAGATCATTCAGTTCATCTATTTTAAATCTAATTCTATTTGAAGTGCCAGTGGGAATTTAAAAAAAAAGTAGGCACCTTAGATCCTGCCTTTATTAAAGATTTTAATGTTGTATGGGTGTATGGGCAATGGACCTATGAGACAATTAGAAAAAATACAATGACAGTTCCAAATTAGGTATTGGGTGCCAGCACAAGGCTGCATCATTGCATAATTCCAGGAAGCATCATTCACATTGTATTCCATGGAAATGGTGCCTACTAGAATGGTACTCTGGGGCACCTTTCACGTAGGTAATATGTTATCTTTGTCAAACATAAGACAAATGCTATTCTTTTGATATTTACTATGGGCTTGACTTTTCCTCCAGTCTCCTGTAATGTGGCATGGTGGCGAATCATTCTCCATTTCCTTTTTCTCTGCTATAAAGTGAGCATAACATCACCAAATACCATCATAGCCTTGTTAAGCTTAACAACCAGGCTCTGTAGTGATAAAATAATAGCATTCATGGTCTTTGACATTGTATTTTACACCTTAATCATTTTTGTGACACAGAGGAGCAAAAATGTACTGTTGATGATGTGGTTATCAGAAATATGTTTCGAACACTCTCTCTTTGTCCAGCTGTAACAAAGCTTCTTTTTCTGTAGGGTTCTATCTCCCAAGCACTTCTACACATTCCCCTGCATTATCTGATATGTGTAATACATCATGCATTTTTTTTGAAAGGAACAAAAATACTCGGAAGTAGTTATGCTTTAATATATCTTTTAATCCCTTCTTTCAGAATTGAGCGGCTGGCTAAGGATATTATGAAAGATTTAGGATATTGTGACATTCTGATCCTGTGTGTGCTTAAAGGAGGTTACAAGTTCTGTATGGATCTTGTCGAACACCTTAAGAACATCAGTCGAAATTCGGATAGATTTGTCTCTATGAAGGTTGATTTCATCAGGCTAAAATTTTGCAGGGTAAGTTATTATTTATTCCATTTTCATTATATGATGTTTAGAATGACAATGTTATAAAATAAAAGAGTTAATAGGTTATGAAAATGAAGAACGTAATTTTTTTTTAATTTGCAAGATACTTCAACCTGTAATTCAAACAATATTCTTTGGGGGGTGAACCCTTCTATCTATTTTCACTATTTAGAAAGATGCTTCAGGAATGATTCATGCTTTCTTTTGTGGTTATAAAGCTGAGTGGTTGTTTCCTGGTGCCTAGCCTTGCAAATGAGTGTGTTAAGAATGAGTGTTAGGAAAGTGAACACTGACGTGTTTTCTGCTCTGGATGTCACTGTTGGCCCTGGAGACCTGTGGGAGGGTGGCCAGCCCAGAGAGGAGAGTGGGTGCAATCGTGGCCTGGAGGTAGAGAAGGGAAACCTGTAGGGACACAGAATTATCAAGTATGATGAGATAAGACCAGGGAGCCTCCAACAGAAGGCCCCTCCACCAGTCTATGCTGGGCTTTCTTGGCCACCACTGGGCAGACTTGAGGGAGATTCTTCTCCAAAGACTTCATCCCTTTAGTCTTTCCCTCTTGTCCCTGTGATGTTACCTTTTATGGTGCTTTTTGATTCTGTATATAGCAAATCATTAAAACTAGCTTACTATTGAGTGAGGAACTGTTGGAGTCAAAACCATGCCAGTATTCTCATTGATTAAACTAGCTTGACACATTCACTCTTTGAATTTGTTTTCTATCGCTGTGATGACAAAATCACCACAAATTTAGTGGCTTAAACCAACACACATTTATCATCCTTCAGTTTCTCTAGGTCAGAAATCTGAGCATGGGTTCTCTGCTAAGAGTCTTCCCAGGCAGAAATCAGGGTTAACTGGGGCTTTGATCTCCTCTGAGGTTTGCAGATAAGTGAACTTTTCTGAGAAGACTGGTTGTTGGCAGAATTCAGTCCCATTTCCCTGCCCTCAACTCCTGGAGGCTGTCCTCATGTCTTTGCCTCATAGTCTCCTCCATGGGTGGGTCACAGCACGACAGGAGAACCTCTCCATTCACTGAGGGCCCAGTTGCCCTTTTAAGGACTCACCAGATTAGGTCACTTTCACCCAGGATAAGCTCCCATTTAAGGAACTCCGAGTCAATTGACTAGTCACCTAATCATGGGAGTGAATTCCCAGGATATTTACAAGTCTCACCTACACTCAAGTGCAGGAGATCATACAGGGTGTGTACACTGGGAGACGGGAATGAGTGAGGCATCTTAGAATCCTGCCTACCACTCTCTTTCTGTGACCCAGTCGCCTCAACTCTAAAGAAGCTACCAAGTTATTTCTCATTTCTTAAGATACCCTGTATGTTCCTGATGACCTCCTGGACCAGGAAGAAGCTGTTTTTTGCAGACATCTTAACCTTAATTTACTGGTTTCATCTTCTCTTGAAAACTTTTTCTCTCTTTAGGTTCCTTTCATCCTGGATTAAATAGCTGTGTTTCCTTCTTAGAAGATTTTTTTCTCATTTACTTGGGTCTGATCCTTACTGTATTTTTCCCCTGCAAGTGGCTTCTTAAAAATCTTTAAAACTCTTTTTAAAATTGAAGTCAGGTTTTTCGAGGTATGATTTACATGCAGTAGAATTCATCTATTTTCGTTTACAATTCTATAAGTTTTGACCATTGCATGTGGTCATGTAAATCACCACAATCAAGATATAGAATAGTTGCTTACCACCAAAAATGCCCTTGTGTCACTTCATGGTCAATTCTTTCCCCAACTCCTGGGTCCTGGCAATCACTGGTATGTTTTCTGTCCCTAGATTTTTGCTGTTTCCAGAATATCATATAATGTAGCTATATACCATGTGACCTTAGTAAATTGGTAAATCTTAGCATAATTCATTTGAGATTCATCCATATTTTTGTGTGTACCAGTAGTTTATGTCTTCTTATTGTCAAGCGGGATTCTATTATATGACTATACCATAGTTTTTTAATCTGTTCATCAGCTGAAGGATATTTGGTTTGATTCCCTTTTGGGGCGATTACCAATAAAGCTGCTATAAATATTTTCATTAATTTGTTTTGCTTTCTTATGTCTTCATTTCTCATGAGGAAATATCTAGGAACAAGATTGTTAGATCGTTTGGTGAGTGTATATAAGAAATTGCCATACTGTTTTCCAAAGTAATTGAATAATTTGCGTTCTCACCAGCAGTATTTGAGAGTTCTACTTGCTCCGCATTTTCAACAGCACTTGTTATTTTGTCAGTTTTTCTTTACTGTACCCATTTGAATAGGTGATGGTTTCTCATCGTGGTTTTTTTGGGGTTTTTTTGTTTTTTGAGGAAGATTAGCCCTGAGCTAACATCTGCCACCAATCCTCCTTTTACTGAGGAAGATTGGCCCTGAACTAACATCATGCCCATCTTCTCTGCTTTATATGTGGGATGCCTACCACAGCGTGGCTTGACAAGCAGTGCATAGGTCCACACCTGGAATCTGAACTGGCGAACCCTGGGCCACCGGAGCGGTACGTGTGAACTTAACCGCTGTGCCACCGGGCTGGCCCCTCTCATCATGGTTTTAACTTGCATTTCCCTAATGAATAATGATGTTGAGCATCCTTTCATTTGCTTATTTGCTATTAAGAGAGCTTCTCTGATGAAGTGTTTGTTCAAATACCTTACCTATTTTTAAAATTGGATTATTTCCTTATGAGTTTTGAGAGTTCTTTATATATTTTGGCTATGAGTCCTTTATTAGATGTGTGTTTTGAATATATTTTCCAGTCAATGGGTTGTCTTTTTATTTTTGTAACACTGCTTTTTTTTCCAAAGAGCATAATTTAAACATTTTTGTACAGTCCAATTTACCAGCTTTTTCTTGTGTTAGGATTATGGCTTTTTGTGTATTTTATTAATCTTTGCCTAATTCAAAATCACAAAGATTTTCTCCTCTGTTTTCTTTGAGAAGTTTCATAGTTTAGGTTTAAATTTAGGAATATGATCTATATTGTGTTTTTTTTAAATATGGTATAAAGTATGGGTCAAGATTTCTTTTTTTTTCTTTTTTAATATGTGAATGTTTGATTGTTCTGGGATCATTTGATAAAAAGACTATCTTTTTCCACTGAATTGCCTTTGATCTTTCATTGAAAGTCAATTGACTATATACATGTTGGTCTATTTCTGAACACTCTCTCCAGTTCCATTCATCTATGTGCTTATCCTTCTGTCAATACCACACTTTTGATTACTGTCACTGAATGGGAAGTGAGAATCAGGTAGTATGCATCCTCAACTTAGTTCTTCTTTTTCATAACTTTTAGCTATTCTAGTTCTTTGCCTTTCCATAAAATTTTAAAATCATGTTACTGATTTCTAAAAAGTAACCTGTTAGAATTTTTATTGAGATTGCTTTGAATCTTTAGATCAGTTTGGGGAGAATTGACATCTTAACACTATTTAGTCTTCCAATCAATGAACAGGGTATATGTGCCAATTCATTTAGGTCTTATTTAATATCAATATTTTCTAGTTTTCAAGAGTCAGATCTTAGACATATTTGGTTAGCTTTATACTTAAATATTTAATGTTTTTTAATCGTATTATGGTAAGCTTTTCTTTGAATTTCAATTTTCAATTGTTTATTGCTAGTTTACAGAAATACTATTAATTTTGTATATTGAATCCTATGACTTTTCAAAACTCTCTTATTAGTTCTAACAACTTTTTGTGTAGAATCTTTTGGACTTTTCTCTGAAGACAATCACTTCTTCTGTGAATAGAGATAGTTTTACTTCTTCCTTTCTAATTTGTATACTTTTTATCACTTTTTTCTTGCCTTATTGCATTGGCTAGGACCTCCTGTACAGTTCTGAGTAGCAGTGGTGAAGGAACGCCTCCCTGCCTTGTTCTCAGTCAGTGTGATACACGCCGCTGATTTTTCAAAGATGTTCTTCATCAAGTTAAGAAAGTTCCTTCTATTCCTAGTTTGCTAAGAGGCTTTTTTGTTTGTTTTTTTAATCATGAGTTAATGTTGAATATTGTCAAGTGCTTTTTCTGAAAATATTGATATGGTGAATTACATTAATTGCTTGTTCTAATGTTGAACCATCTTTCCACTTGATCATGACTCATCTTTTTTTCATATATTCATAGATTCAGTTTGCTAATATTTTTTGAGGATTTTTGCAGTTACATCCATGACAGATATTAAACCATAGTTTTCTTTGCTTGCAATGCTGTTTTCTGGTTCTGGTATCAAGATTATGTTGGTCTCATAAAATGAGTTGAGAAGTGTAGTTCCTCCTCATTTCTTTTCGAGAAGAATTAGTGTAGAATTGGTATTAATTCTTACTTGAATATTTTGTAGGATTTACCAGTGAAACCATCTTGGCCTGGAGTTTTCTTTATCAGAATGATTTTAATTAGGAATTTGATCTCTTTGGTAGATACAGGACTATTCAGGTTATCTTCTTCAGTGATTTTTGATAGTTTGTGTCTTTAATAATTTGTCTACTTTATCTGAGTTTTCACATTTAGGGGCATAAAGTTGTTTATAATATCCCCTTATTGTCTTTTTAGTGTCTGCAGGGTCTGTAGTGCTATCCCCTCTTTTATTCCTGCTATTATCAAATTGTATCTTCTTTTTTGTTTTTTTTTCACCACTGTACCTAGAGATTTGTCAATTTTTTTATCCTTTAAAAGAACCAGTTTATGACTTATTTGATTTTCTCTGTTGCTTTTCTGTTTTCAATTCCATTGACTTATGCTCTTATCTTTATTGTTTCCTTTCTTCTGCTTGCTTTGGGTTTAATTGCTTTTATTTTCCCAGTTTCTTAAGATGGACGCTCAGTTCACAGATTTCAGAACTTTTGTTTTCTAGTATAAACATATAATGCTATAAAATTTCCTCTAAGTACTTCTTTAGTTGCATCCCCCAAATTTTGACATATTGTTTTCATTTTTATTCAATTCAAACTATTTTCTAATTTCCTGTATGACTTCCTCT